CCTGGGGCGGTGCTCCAGGGGCCACCTGGCATTAGTTTGATCAACCCCCCAGGGCCGACCAGCTCTGGGGCGGGGAAGGCAGCACGCTCGAGCGACCTATACATCCGACGCCCCGACAAAAAATTGGAGCGGCGGGACTTGGTCTATCCTTTTCCTGAGAGCCTGGCGACTCCAATTTTTCGAGCGGGGCCTTTTCGCTCAATTTCGGGCCCTGGGACCCTTACATATCGAACAGGCTCGAATAATAACGGCGAAAGACAAGGCCTGGAGGTCCAGGAGGATGAGAATGTGAAGAGGGAGGAGGAGGAGGAGGAAGAGGAGGAGGAGGAGGAGGAGGAGGAGGAGGAGGAGGAGGAGGAGGAGGAGGAGGAGGACGAGGAGTAGTAGAACGATGAGAAGCAGAAGAAGGAAGAGGAGGAGGAGGAAGAGGAGGAGGGAAGGGAGGAGGAGGAGGAGGAGGAAAAGGAGGAGGAGGACGAGGAGGAGGAGGAGGAGACGAAGGAGGAGGAGGAGGAGGAGGAAGAGGAGGAAGAGGAGAAGGAGGAGGAGAAGGAGGAGGAGGAGAAGGAGGAGGAGGAGAGGGAGAAGGAGGAGGAAGAGGAGGAGGAGGAGGAGGAGGACGAGAAGGAGGAGATGACGTTCCCCCTGTTCTGGTTTGCGCTGACTATAGAAGACAAGCCAGGACAGGGATCAATTCGGGTGAGGACAAATCGAGAATCTCTGAGATCCAGCGGCTCTGAATGCTATCTTGGGCGCCGCGGCCTTTTCAGAGCGTCCCGGAACGCTCTGAGAGCGTTCCGGTTTTAAGAGCGTCCCGGATCGCTCTGAGAGCGTTCCAGAATGCTCTGGAAGGGCTGTTATCCTCGTGCTAGTCCTGTCCGAAGGAGAGCCCTTGGCGACGAGTCCGAAATCAGCTGCACGCAAGAAAGACCACACATGCCCCCTTTTCGGGTCGGGACGATCCTGGCATCCCCAGACCGCCCTTGACGAGGCGCAACTAACGGAAAGCGCACCAGGTCCCGTCAACCATCGAAAACCTTCGACAGCTCAAGAAAGGCTACAAACAAGTTCAGATTTCCAAGTGCCCCCATTTTGCAAGACGGGGATTTATCCGTGACCGCCGCCTGGGGGATCATCTTCAGGGACGTCGGCAGGCGGTGGATCTGGATGTATTTGGCCCCCCCCCCCTGGTGGACCGAGGTCTCCGAAGATCGATCCCCCAGACGGTGGTTATGTGGATACATCCCCGCCCTGCCCCGAGACTCGGGTACGGGGGACTCGGGTCGGCCTGACGGGGCCACCATAAAAATGACGAGACCCAATCTGAAATTTGACGCGAGCTCCCGCTGCAGACATCCCACGAAAACTGGACCGTCAAAATCCAGAACGCGCTCGTCAAAAAATGTCGGCAAACCCGAGTTCTGGCTTACTCGAGTCTTACGCTTCCCCCAAGGAGGGGGAGGAGGATGAGGACCACCTCTTTGTCTCCAGACCGTGCAGGACGGCCCAAGGAGGCGCCCAAGATCAGAACGGCCAGCGAGCCCTCAAGAGGGGCCAAGAAGTCCTCAAGATAGCCCCGAGTGGGGAGAGGATGAGGAGAAGTGACCTGATCCGACGTTGTAACCAAAATAAAACGTCGCAGAAAACCACGACCAGACCCCCGGACCCTACCTTCCTGCGTCGTTTTTCGAGCCGGATCGATCTGTGAGCGTCCCGAGGCCCGGAATGGAGCGCAGACGCCCGGCTCGGGAAAGTTCAATCGCCAGGATCTCAAGGCGAGACTAATACCATATGTCCTCCTCGGAGGTGCGCGCCCGACCAGAACATATAGTCTACTAACTTAGTGCAGCATCTCGTTTCCCGAGCGGTAGGGCCAGAAAGCGCCCGCCAAGACGCAGGTACTTCAAGATTTCTCGGCGCGCGCGTCGCCCCTGGGGGGGGGGGGCGACGCACACATAGTATTAGCATGTTGGGGTGCCGCCGAGATAGGGGAGGAGGACGCAGGGCCTCGAGCAGCGCGGACCTCTCCTGAGGTGCGTTCTGACAGCAAATTCAGCGGTGGCGACGAGGGCCGCACAGGAGGCACAAATAAGGGGGGAGACGAGGCAAGGGCAGGTATACCTCCCCCTCCCCCGAAAGATGGGGAGGGGGAGAAGTGGGAGACGGGAGAATAGAAGAAGCAACCACGTAAACATAAACTTTTGGCGCTCCGCGCGGATTTCTTGGATCCGCGCCTGGGCCCCCCGGCGGCGCCTCTGGCGCCGCCCCTGGCGAGCTCCGCGCGCCAGGGAAGGGGGTCCAGTGCGAATTCAAGAAATCCGCGCGGAGCGCCAAAAGTTTATGTTTATGTGGTTTCTTCTGCGATTCTCCCGTCTCCCTCTTCTCCTCCCCCTCCCCATATTTCGGGGGAGGGGGAGGTATACCTGCCCGTGCCTCGTCTCCCCCCTTTTTGGGGCCTCCTGGGCGGCCCTTTTCGCCACCGCTGAGTTTTTGCCTCGGTATTCTGGACAGGGGTGGAGACGGACGAAGGGAGGAGGATGAGGAGGATCGATGAGGATCGAGAAGGAGGAGGAGGAGGAGGAGGAGGAGGAGGAGGAGGAGGAGGAGGAGGAGGAGGAGGAGGAGGGAGGATGATCGAGGAGGAGAGGAGGAGGAGGAGGAGGAGGAGGAGGAAGAGGAGGAGGAGGAGGAGGAGAGGAGGAGGAGGAGGAGGAGGAGGAGGAGGAGGAGGAGGAGGAGGAGGAGGAGGGGAGGAGGAGGATCAAGGAGGAGGAGGGAGGAGGATCAAGGAGGGGGAGGAGGAGGAGGAGGAGGAGGAGGAGGAGGTGGAGGAGGAGGAGGAGGAGGAGGAGGAGGAGGAGGAGGAGGAGGAGGAGGAGGAGGAGGAGGAGAGGAGGAGGATCGAGGAGGAGGAGGAGGAGGAGGAGGAGGCGGGAGGAGGGAGGAGGGAGGAGGGAGGAGGGCGCGGGGCCTCGAGCAGGCCGCCGGCGTCCTGCCACCGCAGGCCAAGGAGCCGGGCCGCGCCAGGCTGGGCGTGGGACAGCCTGCGGCCAGGAGGACAGGCGCCACGCTCGGGGGGGGGCGGCCCGCGGCGCCACGCTCGGGGGGGGGGGCGGGGGAATATTATCGGCAACCGGCGTGGGGAGACGACGACCTGGACGGCTACTTCGCAGGAAGCACGAAAGGGCAGAAAACATGGCGGAGGAGGATGAGGAGGAGGTGCAGGAGCAGGTGCAGGAGGAGGAGGAGGAGCAGGAGGAAGAGGAGAAGGAGGAGGAGGAGGAGGAGGAGGAGGAGGAGGAGGAGGTGCAGCAGGAGGAGAAGCAGGAGCAGGAGCAGGAGGAGGAGGAGGAGGAGGAGGAGGAGGAGGAGGGGAGGGAGGAGGGAGGAGGAGGAGGAGGAGGAGGAGGAGGAGGAGGAGGAGGGGGAGGAGGAGGAGGAGGAGGAGGAGGAGGAGGAGGAGGAGGAGGAGGAGGAGGCGGAGGAGGAGGAGGAGGAGGAGGAGGAGCAGGTGCAGGAGGAGCAGGAGGAGCAGGAGGAGGAGGAAGTGGAGGAGGAGGAGCAGGAGGGTGAGGAGGAGGAGGAGGAGGAGGAGGAGGAGGAGGAGCTCCGTGCGGATTTCTCATATCTGCGCTGTACCCCCCATCCCTCGCGCGCAGAGCGCGTTGCGCCGAGGCGGGCGCCTCCAGGGGGCCTCAGCGCCGATCCGAGACATCCGCGAGGAGCTCTGAATGTGTACAGTGGAGGCCAGCCCACAAGAAACCTTCCACAAGAAGCCCAACCCTATTGCCCCAGGACGTCCCTGGATTTTCGGCGTAGGAAGGTAGCGCTTTCCATGGCAACACCATCGACACCCAAGAAACCCAGGGCACCCTGGAGGCAAGCAAGGCTTGGCATGGGTCTCCACTGTATGTTGTATCATCGGGGGCCTTGTCTGTCCCGTCGCGCCCCTATATCCGCGTCAAATCCGTGCCGAATCCATGTCGGACACGTGGCATCCGCGTCGGATCCACGTCGAACCCGCGCCGAATCCACGCCCAATCCGCGCCGAGTCCGCATCGAACCCGCGTCGGGCACAAGAAAAAAACACCCATTCTGGGGACAGACGAGGCCCCCCGAAGATGCAACGCAGAGAACGGGCGATACGTTCGAGATTTTCGGGAGTTCTCATTGGTTCTCGGTGGGTTTCGAGCTTCGGGGCGGCCTCCATCGGCTGCACCTCGTCGAGGCGGTTCCAGGGGTGCCAGAATCGTTCTGCACGGCCACCAGGTCGCCGAGTTATGGCTCGACGATCAAACGGCATCGATACGGGGGGGGACCGGCTCGGGGGGGAGACTTCGACCTGGAATCGGCGATGCATCGCCGATGAATCGATGACTGGCCCATGATATCGAATCCACACGTTCCCGGCAAGGGCGGGTTATCGGGCTCCTTGTCGGGCGATTGGGGCTCGAGGCGTTCCCAACGAGCCTATACCCCCCAGACGTTACTCCTGGCAGGAGGCCTCGATATATATATATATATATATATATATACATATATATATATATTTATACATATACATATACACATACATATACATATATATATATTAGTGTGTATATATATGTACTCATACATTTCTATATATATGTATATGTAAATGTATATATGTGTATGTGTCTATGTATATACATATATATATATACATGTATACACACATGTGTATATATATGTATATATATAGAGATACACTAGAACCACGCGGCGCTAAGCGCGCTTAGGTTCTAGTCGCAGATGAGCCACGGGTGCCGCTGTAAGCCCCGTTGTGGCCACAACGACGATTTCCAGCGTTCTCGGGCCCATGCCATCGACGCCAAAAAACGCGTAGTCAGAACGCGGGGCGCCACGTTCCCGCGAATCTCACAATCTCGCTGCCGCCTTTGTGTGTGGTTTATCTTGCGTTTTTCCTCAATGTTCAGCTCTGCTCTGCCTCGTCGTGACACTCAATGTTTTTGCGCATCTGTCTGGTCTCCCCATGCCCGATCACGCAGACATCCGCCAGCTCCTGGCGCTGGGGTTGGCTCGGGGCCTCGTTGCGCGCGCGTGGGACCGCGTTTTTTGGTCCTGTCCTAGTGCTCCAGGCTTCTCGTTTTCAGCGGTCGTTCAGCTGTCGGGTATCGGCAGGGTGCGCGCGCAGATGTCCCGGTCATCAGTGCCCTTCTCTGCAATCAGTTGTTGTCGAGTCCGTCCACTGGACTGGGGACAGTTTTTTGCGCTTGACTCCAAACCTCGTGCCGGCGAAAATCGCACCCGTGGGATCAGAAGGTTCGGGCGCACGGGGGATGCTCAATGATTTGCCAGGCAAGTCCCATGTATGGGGCTGCCTGGAGCTCTGGCGGGGCCTATGGCGATACCTTCTTGGCGCTCTGGCGAAGCCTTTCAGGAGGTAAGGGAGGGGCACGAAACCTCAAAACATTGTGTGGTATAGTAACACCCCCGCTCGCTCGGGTCCGCCCTGCAAGGGTGGGAGGAGCAAGAATCGCGTTAAAAAATATGGTGTAGGGAGGCCCTGCTGTCTCTCTGGCGGGGGGGTTCCTGGCGCTCTGGCGGGACTTGCCCAGGAGGGGAGAGAGGAGCACGAAAACGGCACAAAAATTAGGGTATAGCCACACCCCGTGCGCTCTGACGGGGCTGCCTCGGGTGCGGTGGGATGAGCAAGAAAAGAACAGGGACCGTATATGGTATGGCAGCACCCCTCTCGCCTTGTCGGGGCCGCACTTGAAGGGTGGGAGGGGCAAAGCAACTTGTGCAATGATATGGCCTCTTCGGGATGCTTCTCGGACCTCTCTTGAAGCCTTTTGGAGGCCTCTTGGGTTGTGTATTTGCCGTGTTGGGCCCATCTGGGCCGTCTTGGAGCGCCTTGGCGCCTCCCGCTCGCGGTCTGTAGTCCAGCTTGGGCCTGTCCTCCTGGGCAACTTTCAAACTCCCTGGTGCCGTCTCGGGGCGCTTTGCCTCTTCGGCGGTCTTGGGGGCGTCGTCGGCCGTCCTGGAGCGTCGGAAGATCGAAAACGAGAGGAAACAAAAAACATTGAAAACCGATTAAAATCAATGATTCGGGCCTCTTCGGGTTTTCTCGGAATGCTTCTCGGAGCTCTCTTGAGACCTCTTGGAGGCCTCTTGGGCTGTGTACTTGCCGTGTTTGGCCCATCTGAGGCCACGTTAGGGTCAGCTGGGCCGTCTTGGAGCGTCTTGGCGCCTCCCGCTCGCGCTCTGTGGCTCAGCTTGGGCCTGTCCTGGGGCTCCCTTGGGCCGTCTGGGGCCCCTTCCTGGGCAACTTTCAGACTCCCTGGTGCCCTCTCGGGGCTCTTTTTGGGGTCTCTTCGGCGGTCTTGGGGCGGTCTTGGGGGCGTCGTCGGCCGTCTTGGAGCTTCGGGAGGTCGAAAACGCGAGGCCTCTACGTTTGAAAAACTATTGAAAAACGATTGAAAAAAAACACATTGGAAAAACTATTGAACACGCGAGAAGCCGAAACACATTGAACAACTCTTGAAAAGGCCTCTGCGGCCCCTCTCTCGGGATGCTCCTCGGAGCTCTCGTGAGGCCTCTTGGGGGGCCTCTTGGGCTGTGTACTTCCTGTCTCGAGCCCACCTCGGGCCACGCTGGGGCCATCTGGGCTGTCTTTGGAGGGGCTCGTCAACGTCCCCGAGGGCTTCTGGGAGCTCCCTGGTCGGCGGTGGACAAACCTCCCTTTAGTGAACCTCCCCTTAGTGAAAACGGCCTGGGGCCGAAACCGACGGACCTGGACCCGCAAAAATGACGGCCGCGGCGCCCTCTCGCGAACCGAAAACGGCCAATTCCTCGATCGACGTGTCAGGGTAGGAGGTCTGTCCAGCCCCGATCTGGGGCAGTCTGGGAGCTCCAGGGCCGCTCCTGGGTGCTCTGGGAGCGATCTGGGAAACCCTGGTCCTCCCAATGCCCCCCCCGGGGGCCCGGGCGGCCGGGCCTCGTGCACGGGGGATTTCAATCAATCAATATATCTCTTTATCTCTCTATCTAACTATCTATCTATCTATCTATCTATCCATATGCGTGTACTGCCAGGGGTCCGGCGCCACGCAAAAATCAGCGCGGCCGCTCCGTCGCCCTCTTCGCGCCTCCGAGGGGGCTGGCTTCGGGCCCGGGGGCCGTCAGAGAGCGGCTCAGGGTGGCCAGGGCCCCAAGCGAGGCAAAAGCGGCGGATACCTGGGCTCTCGGAGCTCTCCACGTGCTAGTAATGGTTATGGTTGGGCTGCGCGGGCAGAGGGGGGAAGCTGCGTGGGGCGGCAGGAGCTTGGTGTTCGCTCTCTCCCTTTCTCGATCTCCGCGTCCTCGGTCATCTCATCTTCCTCCCCCACCCTCCCGTTTCTCCGCGTTACTTCACCTCTCCATTCTCCAGCCTGTGTCCCTCCCCGCTCCTTCACATTAAACCAGATGGTCACCCATTCTCCGAATCTTCGTCCTCACTCCTCCACCTCCTCCTCCTCCTCCTCCTCCTCCTCCTCCTCTGCATCATCATCATCATCATCATCATCATCATCATCATCATCATCATCATCATCATCATCATTATCATCATCATCATCATCATCATCATCATCATCATCATCATCGTCATCATCATCATCATCATCATCACCACCACCACCACCACCACCACCATCATCATCATCGTCATCATCATCATCATCATCATCAATCCTCCGCATCCTCTACCTAGGTGCCTCTCGTCCTTTTCCTCCACCTCCTCCTCCAGGCGGGCACGAGACGTGTGGCGGCCCCCCCTAGGGTAGAACCCTGGTGAACAAAAACTGGATACCCGCACAGCTGGCGCGGTCTGACGCGGCCCCCCCGTTGGATGAGTGTGATGGGCACGAACCCTCGCACATCCTGGCATATCTTCACCGCGGGTGCGGTCGGACGAGGCCTCCCTGGAATGGAGAGGCAACCGAAAGTGGTGTGGCGGGATGAAGAGGCAGCCGAAATGGGTGGGACTCGTGGATTGGGAGGTGCACGAGACCTGCTAAAAATCGCACCGCTGCCCACCTGCTTGGGTCCACCGCCAGGCGCAGGCCGCCCACATGGCGAGATCCATGGGCTGCGCGACCCATGGTTTCTGCGTCGCCTGCAGGCTGCGGCATGGGCTGCGCTATCTGTGTGTTGACCCATAGGCTGCGACGATCTGGGCTTTGCGCCATCCACGGAGTCCGCCACAGGCTGCGCCGTCTACGGGGTGCGCCACTGGCGCCATCGGCGGCCCAGAATAAAAACCAAAATCACGGCCTGCTACTGGTGGCGTCAGAGGTTGCACACTCTGCGGCCGAGAGCAACACGGCCTGCGAAACCGGCGGCCGAACATGAAGCTGGCCTGCCGCTGGATACGCCATAAAACTGCGCACCCGACGGTCGAGAACGAAACGGCCTGCTGCTAGGTGCGCCTTGGGCCACGCGCTCGTTGGCCCATAAGAAACGGCCTCCTGCTGGGCGCGTCATAGGTTGCACACGCGGCGGCCGAGAGTAGCATGGACTGCTCGAAGTTGCGCCATAGGTTGCGCACCCAGCGGCCTAGAAGTAACGGCGCCATGGATTGCGCACTCGGCGGTCAACATGAAACGGCCTGCTACTGTTGCGCAATGGGTTGCGCACTCGGCGGCCGTGAACAGAACTGCCTCCTATGGGTTGCGCCATAGGATGCGCACCCTGCTGATAAGAACACTGCCTGCTGTTGGTTGCGCCATGTGCTGCGCACTCGGCGGCCGCCTAACGGGTGCGATCAATCAGTCAGTCAGACCAGCCCGTCTCGCGAAAAACATCGTGCGACGCCCGACGAGACTGACAGAAACCTGCATACCGGGCGCGATCTGGCGAGGCCCACCTGGACGGGCAAACGACTCTTGTGGGGCTGGTGGCATGGAACACTGACGCACACACAACATTGTGTCCGCACTGCGGGCGCGGTCTGATGCGAATTCCCCAGACGGGCGCAAGATATCAGTAGGGTTGGCCGAACAAAGAAAAGCATGAGCCCTGCCAAGCAACATTGTACCCGTGCATCGGGCGCGGTCTGACGCGGCGGCCTCCCCTCAACGGGAAACGGTGCCGGTGGGGCTGGTGGAATAGCGGGCGCGGTCTGACTCATATTGCCTCCATGGATGGGCAAAAGCTGCTGGCGGGGCTGGTGGTGTAGGAACGCAAGAACCCGTCGCAAAAAAACACGGGATACGCATACGTAGCGGGCGCGGTCTGACTCGGCCTCCCTGGACGGACAAACGGTCCGTGCGGGGCTGGGGGGGGTGAGAAGGGCACGATCCCTAATACAATGCAGTGTTTGTGTGTGTGTGTGCATAGCTAGCGCGAGCTGACGCTGCCCCACGTCGTGTTTTTTTCACCAAGTCGACCCCCAGAGGTCTGGACCCCTTCCCCAGGGCCGGCTCTGCATCCCGAGTCGTCTTCTCCGGGCCCCGAGGCCCAATAGGGGGCCCCCAGAGGCCAAACAGAGCGAGAAACTTCCCGCCGTGACCTCTTCACAGCGCGGGGGGGGCTCTGGGCACTCGCGAGGTCCAGACCCAGACCGATGCGTGAGAGCTGGTGCTTCGTGTGCCCCTCCCGCGCCTGCCGCCGCCCCACGCGAGAGCGGAGCCACCCCGCCGCACGGCTGCGCGCTGCCAGAAGAACTGGAAGCAACCGCGTACCCATCTCGGCGGCACTGACTTCGAGTATACACAGTCATCGGCCTGACCTAGGGAACGATGAAGAAGAGACGAAATCCCTTTTTTCCCGGGGATAACACACAAGGAACGAGAAATCCGCCGACCCCAGATGCGTGTGCGTCTCAACTGTTCACCTGCTGACCCTGGCCCGGAACCGACGCTGAACCCCCCACGTGCCCCGGCATCTTCCACGCCCACACTCTCTGTTTTTGGGACCCCCCACCCGATAGTTCCTGGCCCGGAACCGACCCTGACCCCCCACCATGCCCCAGCATCTCCCACGCCCAGACCCTCTGTTTTTGGGACCCCCCACCCGGCAATTCCTGGCCCGCCGTGCCCCGGCATCTTCCACGCCCAAACTCTCTGTTTCTCGCGCCCCCCACCCGACAATTCCTGGCCCGGAACAGACCCTGACCCCCCACCGCGTCCCTGCATCTCCCACGCCCAGACTCTCTGTTGTTCGCGCTCCCCTACCCGACAATTCCTGGCCCGCAACCGACTCTGACCTCCCACCGTGCCCCAACATCTTCCACGCCCAGACTACTCGACAATTCCTCGCCCGGAACCGACCCTGACCCCCCCCCCACCGTGCCCCGGCATCTTCCACACCCAGACTCTGTTTGTGGGACCCCCCATCCGACAATTCCTGGCCCGGAACCGACCCTGGTCCCAGGGCCCGAAGTGGAGCGCAAACGCCCGCTGTGAAATAAGAAGAAGAAGAGGAGGAGGAGGAAGAGGAGGAGGAGCAGGAGGAGGAGGAGGAGGAGGAGGAGTCGGAGGGCGGAGGAGGAGGCGGAGGAGGCGGAGAAGGAAGAGGAGAGGGAGGAGAAGGAGGAAGAGGAGGAGGAGGCGGAGGAGGAGGAGGAGGCGGAGGAGGAGGAGAAGGAGCGAACACGCCCAGGTCGAAAAAGTGGAGTCGCCAGGATCTCAGGGATCGCCTGCTCCTCTCCTCGCCCTGCCTGCCCCCGAGGGAGCCGAAGGGGGCCGGCGCGGGCCGCCTGGGCTGCCTGCTGCCGGGGCTGGCGAGCCGCGCGAGGCCCGGGGCCGAGAGGAGCGCCCCCACCGCGGCCTCCCACTGCCTGGAGCGGGGCGAGTCTTTTCTGGTAGAAAGAAGGAGCGTGGCAGGGCTTAAAAAAACCGGAGCAGGGCAGGGCTTTGTTTGGTTTTTTGTTTGGGGGGAGAAAAGGAGCGGAGCAGTGTTTTATCACAGTATCCTCATTCGTATTATGGTTCGTAGTATGTGCTCTCATTACTACTAGTACGTATCAGTATTATGATTATGATTACTAATACCCACACTAAATAATACTACTACTACTACTACTACTACTACTACTACTACGAATGATAATAATAATAATAGTAATAATACGAATAATAATACTACTACTAATAATAATAATAATGATAATACTAATAAAAAGAATAATAATAATAAAATAGTAACAACTGGTACGACATAATGAATAATAAATAACAAATAATGAATAATAATAATAAAAAATAACAATAGTAATATTATTAGCAATAATAATACTAATGCTAACCATAATATCACTTGTAAAACATATTGTGTTGCTCCCATCGTACTTGAGGACCACAGCCCGAACATACTTTCGAGCACCCAAAGGAGTATCGAAACAGCGTCGAACGAGTATCGCCTCCCAAGGCCCGACATACGAAAAAAGACGCAAGTTTCTCACTACCTTCGTGGTGCTCGACACTCTTTCCGGCGGTCAGGGCTGAAGCAGGTTGGAACATCATGCGGCCAAGGATCTCCCTTTACCGCAAAACGAAGTCGAAACGAAAACGGCCCACGAAATCACCAAAAGCACAGTCTAGGCACAGCACTGGATCTCCCTCTCTCCGCCACTCGGGAGCGGCCAAGAGGGGGGTGTCCAAGAGGGGGGGGTGCAAATCATGACCGGCGGCATGTGCGCGGCCCAGCGGGGAGGCCAGGGACGTAATGGAATAAGAAGGGGCGCCATGAGATCTGGGGAAATCTCATGGCCCCGGCCATGATATCCATCCCCCCCTAGTCATCACCCCCCTCGTTTCCGCCCCCGAGCCACGGCTCGGGGGAGCAGCACAGGCCGCCGCCACCCGGGAACCTTCGATGTGCTCCTCCCGGGGGACCTTCGCAGCCGCTCGCTCCGCCCGCGCGAACGTCCGTCGACTCCAGTCGAACCTGCGCCGAACTGGGGTCGAACGTGATGGGCCTGTACTCCACCACCACCACCGCCACCATGGGTTGGGAGGGGCAAGGAGGTGGAGGAGGAGGAGGAGGAGGAGGAGGAGGAGAAGGAGGAGGAGGAGGAGGAGGAGGACCCCCTCCAACTTCAACTCATGGTGGTGGTGGTGGAAAACAGGCCCATCAGAATTCGAGTCGAGCTTGAGTCGAACAGAATCGTCCGGTGGGTCCTGGGAAGGTCCCCAAAACGAGCATCGAAGGAACCCGTCGGTAGGGTGCCGACCTCTGGCAGTCCTCTCAGCCGTGACTCACTGATTGGGTCGGGCATGTCCTCCTACAGGCGGATCTTGGAATAAAACATGTGATAATGATCAAACGTGATCAAACATAGTCAACCGATCACGAAAAGTCGTCGTCACACTATCTTTTTCTACTCTTGCATATTCACCCTGTAATTAGAGGGACATGCCCGACTGAACGGCACGGCAGGGTGCCGGCCCCTGGCAGTCCTCCATGCCATGACTTCATGCTTTTCTGCGATGTTGCACGCTTGCTGTAACGCCCGCTCCTTAGGAGAAGCATGGGCCACCGCCACCAGGAACCCAACGGCAGGGTGCTGGCCCCTGGCAGTCCTCTCTGCCATGACTCCATGACTGTCTGCGATGTCCGAGGCCGGGCTGACTGTGATGTTGCGGACCAAACTGTAAGAAATCAAGAACCACACTATCCTACATTTCCCAGCTGCGGATGGATCGAGCGATCGCTACACAGCGAATTGTAGGAAAGCGCGAGCCATGCTCGGGGGCGCGCAAACATGGATTAGCGATCTGTGGATTTGGCGCGCGGCCGCCGAATCCATGGATCGGAGGAGGTGCCCTCCCCCAAATGCGGCCGGTGCCGCCTCGCTCAGCGGCGGAAATCCGCAGTGTCCCATGGAAACGGGACCCGTCGCTGATCCACGTCCCCTTGATCCAGGTTCGCGATCGCCTGAACCAAGACGTCTGGCGTGGGTTTTTGCGTGGTAGACGCTACGGCCCCCGATGGGCCGTAGCGCAGCACGGAGGGCCGCAGGTGGGGTGGGGTCGTTTGTTTACTGGCCGACGCCTCGAACGTCGCCCCCCTGATCCATGTTGGCGATCGCCTGACGATGCCGAAACCCAGGCACCCCCAAAATCGAATCGATAAGTCGGATCGGCGATCGAAGGAATCGGATCGGCGGAAATCGGCAGCCGAGTCGGGAAAAGTCGAATCGGCGGAAATCGGAAAGCTAGTAGGCCTCCATCGAAAAGTCGGAGCCCAAATCGGAATCCCAAGTCGAGTCGAATCGGAATCGGAGGCCATCGAAATCGAATCGAATCGAATCGGAGGAATCAAAACGAGCCCTGGAAACCTACATCGCCGTTGGCCCGCCTGCGGCGCCGAGCGCCGATCGGCAGCGGCCCGACCCCTCTGGGCAGGTGGCGCGCCCGAGCGCCGCCGAGGGCAGAGGGCGGCGCTCGGGCGAGCTGCCGCCCAGAGGGGTCGGTCCCCCGCCGACGGGTGCTCGGTGGCGGTGATCCATGCTTCTCCTCCTCCTCCTCCGCCTCCTTCTCCGCCTCCTCCGCCCCCTCCTCCTCCGCCTCCTCCTCCGCCTCCTCCTCCGCCTCCAACTCCTCCCCTCCGCCTGCTCCTCCTCCGCCTCCTCCTCCTCCTCCTTCTCCGCCCCCTCCTCCTCCTCCTCCCCCTCCGCCTCCTCCTCCGCCTCCTCCTCCGCCTCCAACTCCTCCTCCTCCGCCTGCTCCTCCTCCGCCTCCGCCTCTTCTCATTTCACGACGGACGTTTCCGCTGGGTTTTGGGCCCCTGGGGTCCGGGGCTCTGGTCGTGATTTTTTTAGGTGTTGCAATTTCTTTGCAACGTCGGATCTCAGGGTACGCCAAACGCGAGGGGCATCAAGCAAGAGAGGGTCTCGCCATCCCCGAGCCTGGTCTTCACGCAGGCGCCGAGGGCCGCGTCAAGGAGGGCGCCGCTCGTCTGGACCCCCTGCCGCTCCTGGGCCCTGAGCAGAGACAAGGCGATGTCCCACCTGGGGGGCTAAAGCGCACTGTCCATCTGACCACTCTCCGTTGGTGGCGCGCACAAACAAGGGGGGCGTATTCTAAGAAGGCAGGGTGCCTCTGAGGAAGGGGTCGAGACTTCGAAGAAGGTCTCTTCGAAGGCTGGAGGGCTTCTCGTCCAGGGGTCACGCCGCGACGACGGCGGCGCTCAAAGCGCCAAGCCTTGCCCTCGGTCCTGCGGGATGAGGGAGGTAGGTGTTTGGAGGCATCTGAAAAGTGCTGACGCAGAACTGACTTGGTCACAGCCGGCTGCCCATCCAGGAAACCCACGACCCCCAATAATAGGGTAACAGAAAGTGCCATAAGCATAAAAACTCGGAGGTCCGCGCGGATTTCTCGGATCGGCGCTGGACCCCCCTCCCTGGCGCGCGGAGCGCGCCAGGGGCGGCGCCGGTCCGAGAAATCCACGCGGACCTCCGAGTTTTTCTGTTTATGTCGCTTTTCGTTCCCCGAAAGAGAACTGACGTCTTTCCCTGGGGGCGGGGTGGAGGAGGAGGAGGAGGAGGGAGGAGGAGGAGGAGGAGGAGGAGGAGGAGGAGAAGGAGGAGGAGGAGGAGGTGGAAAAGGAGGAGGAGGAGCGGGGAGGAGGAGGAGGAGGAGGAGGAGGAGGAGGAGGAGGAGGAGGAGGACGAGGAGGAGACCCCCGAGAAAACTGACGTCTCTCCCTGGGGGGGAGTGCAGATGCTCCGTCCGCCAGCCGCGACCCGCGGAAAAGCGTCCTCGCCATCCCTTCCGCCGCCTGCCGAGCGCCCTCCCGCCACACTCCGTCGAGGTCGAGAGGCTGGGGGCACTAAAATGAAGTCGTGCGCGTCCCCCTACAGGGGGACTTTCGACGAAAAATGCAAAAAATACCCCCCCAAAAAAACTCCAAAATGGTCAAACAAATACTTTAAAAACATAATTCGCATTAAGTCGGGCGCGTCCCCCTACAGGGGGACTTTCGACGAACCATGAAAAGTACCCCCCCCCCAAAACAAAACTCCAAAATGGTCAAACAATACTTTAAAACAAATTGTTCACAGACTATTGCTTGACTATCTTTGAATATTCCCCCCTGGAGAGGAACAGGCCCGACTGAACACTGAAAAGTACGGATGCCGCCTATACTCCCGGAACCTCCTGATGCCGCCTGCTCCCGGAACCTCTCCTGGGGTGCGCTCTGACCAGGATTCCGAGGCGAAGCCAGCGGTGGCGACGACGGAGGCCCAGGATAGAGGCCTCCTAGATGGGGTCCGAGTAGATGGGGTCGGAGGATCGCGCCGCATCGCCGATACACCGGCGATGCATCCCCGATGCATCGGCGATGCATCGGCCATGCACTGGCGACGTCGGCGATGCATCGGTAACGTCGGCGTGGAGGAAATTGGGCCCCACATCGAGCCGCATCGCCGACGCACCGCCAAGGCATCGCCGATGCGGCGCGATCCTCCGACCCCATCTACTCCGACCCCATCTAGGGGGCCTAGACAGGAGGCCCAAAAAAGGGAAAACGGACGCAGGGTCGCGGCAGGGGTACCTCTCCCTCCGCCGAGGGGGCCCGCTCCTCGACCCCCGCAGAGGCGGGGCCCCCAGCGCGAGCGCCACACGTAATCAAAACGACCTCTTGCCCTGGGGGGGGCGGGACGGCGTGGCAGGAACCCAGCGGGGACCTCATGCGTATCAGCCTGGAACATGTCCCTATCCCTATGCTGGGCACCTCCTTACCACGATGCCAATCCTGGGGATTCCCTTATTTTTGAGGGCGGATCCCTAAGATGGTCATCGCCTTTGGGCGTGTCAATCTTAGGGATAGGGATACGTTCGAGGCTGGTAATCTGCCTCCGTGCCTCGAGAGCCCCGGGGGAGCCCCCCCCTCGCGGATCGCCCCCCGGCGCGACGAGCGACGCAGGGCGGCGTCGAGAGCCCCGGGCGTGGGGTCTGCGCCGCGTCTCTGCGCGGCCCTGGCGGCGTCGGACCTCGGGAGAAGGAGGCTCCCTTTGGCGGCGAGGGAGGGGGGGAAGTGAGGAGGAGAAGGCCCTCACACAAGGAGGCGGGGCTTCTCAGAAGGCCTCCAGCCTTCCGAGAAATTGTTTTTCCCGTTTTCGGGAGAGGCTCAGAAAACTTCACGGAAGGCTGGGGGATTTCCGAGCCTTCTGGGAAGGCCCGCTCCTTCTCACTTCCCCCCCTCGCCCGCCACCGAACCCTGCTCCTCATCTGCACGTTTCGCTCGGACGCGGTGGCGGGGCACAACCGCCGCATCAATGGCTACAAATGGCACGGCGGGTGTGATGGCGCGTGTGGAGCTGGACGACATGTACCTCTACACCGTGTACCTGGATCATGGCGGGCGAAGTAGGCTGCAACGCACGCCGCCCCAGGCGGCTCTCGGTCCTACATGCTTACTGTTGGGGTGTAGGCACGCGTTGGTATTATCCCCTACCATGCCATGCTATCGATGATGGTTGCTACTTGCCTGCTTTGATGACCTGGCCAGCCACCCTTCCAGCCCCCACGCGTGGACGTGATTCAACAACACCCGCGTATAGACCCAACACAGCGCTTCTGTGCGACCAGTGGGGGCGGAACATATCGAATGCAAGACCACGCGGCGCAGACCATGCTGTGCAACTTCTGAACCGAATTTCGGGGGCGCAGCATGCGGGTGCATTCTCGGGAGCGCCTTCCATGGGATGTGCCTACGTAGATGTACAGCAGTCCGTTCGCCCTTCAAGGTAAGACGCGACCGCACCGGCGGGGACACCATCTGCGACCACACATCAAGAATTAACCAGGGGCCACATGATGTTGCTACGACGACGTCCTTGTTGTGGGGAGCCCTGTCACCTGGCCCGAAAGGAACACCTTACGGAGCTACGAGACCCGACCTCGGAGCACCCTGCCAGAAGCGGGCTGCGTCAAATCTGCGTCGGGTGTTTGGGCGCCCCCTTAAGGCCCACTGGTGAGGCCTCTGGTGCGGCCTCGGGCGGCCCCGGAGCCTTCCAGAGCGGTCCCGACTGGCCCCCACGGGGCCTCCTGGGACCCCCTGCGAGCTCGTCGAAGCACCTCGAGCCGAATCGAACTGGGCACGGAACTTGCACAACAGCGGCTCCCTTGGATGTGGGTGCTCTCCTGAGCTCCAACGCCCCAAGAGGCCTGCGAAGAGTCCCCCCCCCCACAAGGCTTCTAGGATGCCCCTGTCCACGACCCAGTGATGGTGTCGGGGCGGGCCGAAGACCACGGGATATGGGACAACTGCCCTCGACCCTTGTTCGTCTGCTGTCTGCTTCAGACCTCTGCGCCAACTCCTCCTTCTCATCCCATCGTCGTCATTCTTCTGCTCCTTCTCTCGTAGCTCCCAACTCCTCCTCTCCAGCTGCTCGTCTCCGTAATCTACCTCTTCTTGCCGAACATGTATTCTCCACTGGGCTCACAAGGCCAACTGTGGAACTCAGAAGGGGAGGCCCTATGCTCCAGAGCTGCCCGGAAACTCGGGGCACCTCAGGCCAGGGACACTTCTGTCGACTGCCCGATTGCTCAGGCCTCCTCGGCGGGGCGCACGAAAGGGGGTATGGCGAGGGGTGAGGCTTCTTAGAAAGAGGCTGCTTCTCAGAAGGCGCCGGCCTTACAGCTACAGAGAAGGCCAGCGCCTTCTAAGTAGCAGAGTGCTTCCAAGAAGCCTTCCCCCCTCCCCCTCCCCCTGCCCCCCTCTGCGCGTGGCCGACCTCTGTGAAGGGGCCCCGGGACACACAGATAAATACACACAAATGAAACGATTCCCCATAGTTTCCTATATTTTCTGGGTTTTTTTTCTTCCCCCCCCCCATTTCTCATCTTTTCCCATGTTTTCCTGGAAGTCGACGATTCATTGTGTCTGTGTGTTTCTTTCCCTCCTGATTCTGGCGGATGGCCCACCAGGCCGTCGGCCCCGCGGCTCTCGCCCCCCGTCCCCGCGAGGCCGGCTCCTCCCAGATCGCGGGGGGCCCCGGGGCCCGCACACGGCGCCCCTGCAGGGGCCCCAAGCTCAGAGAAGCACGCACAGAAACGACCAGTCTGGCCATCGTAGGAGGGCACCAACTATACACCAACACCGATCCCGGCCAGGATCACCCTGGACCCAGGATCGGTGTATACCTGAAGGCCCTGCGTAGTTAGTAACAGTTAGCGGAACTTCTAATTGTTATTAACGGAGTTATAACTAGTTAGGTTTGGCCAGTTTGAAGCTGTTTTTTAATGTTTATGTTATGTTTTTGCATCTCATGTAGTTGGAAATGGGGGCATCATGATTGGGCGCTTCGTCGATTTGGATCTGCTCAAGGGCCTTCAGAATTTTTTTATCGTCCTGGGGCAAACGCGACGGTCCGCAGCGCATCATGTTAGCAACATCGCGATTTGTATTCTACTGGCCAAATGCACGTGATGTCGTTCTCTATTTTCCTGTAAATCACAGGAGCTTTCAGCGAGGTCAGAGGCATCAGAACAGGGTCTGTATCATCTAAAAAGATGTGTCTGGAAAAACCTTCAGCGGCGTTCACATGCTTAGTTGCAAGCTGCTGGACAAGCACCTGCGACTCGCCATCGTCGCATTTCACGTGAAACCACACTTGCATTGCTGCATGCATCCCGCCCGACCCCAGAAGTACGATATCACCGCGCTTGATGCGGCCGAAATCTGTCATGGCTTCGATGCTGGAGACGGCTGTCTGCGTCCCAGGGCACATGCGTTTCAACGCATTCAGCAGCTTCTGTGTTGCTTTCGTTGGGTCGACTAAGCCAGGTGAAACACGCATGGTCTTTAAATCGTGCGCGTGCTGCGCAGTGAGTTGGACCATGAGAGCCTTCTCTGGCCCCTTCTTGCACATGTGGTCTTTGGCGAAACGTTTTACGTTTTTGTGCTTGCGTTCCTGGACAAAGCAACTGAGCGACCCATGTTTTTCAAACATTTCTGGCAAATGTGTTGCCATATGGTGCTTATACACCCAATAGCTTTCAC